TTGCCCGGCTAGTTTTTTGTATTTTTTAGTAGAGACGGGGTTTCACCGGGTTAGCCAGGATGGTCTCGATCTGCTGACCTCGTGATCCGCCCGTCTCGGCCTCCCAAAGTGCTGGGATTACAGGCTTGAGCCACCGCGCCCGGCCAATTGTTGTATTTTTAGTAGAGTTTTGTTGTACTTTTAGTAGGTTTCGCCATGTTGGCTAGGCTGGTGTGGAACTCCTGACCTCAAGTGATACACCCGTCTCAGCCTTCCAAAGGGCTGGGATTACAGCTGTGAACTGCCATGCCCAGCCTATTTATTTATTTATTTTTATTTTTGTAGAGACGAGGTCTCACTATGTTGCCCAAACTGATATTGAACTCCTAGGCTCAAGCGATCCTCCCTTCTCGGCCTCCCAAAGTGCTAGGATTACAGGCATGAGTCACTGTGCCTGGCCCACTGCATTATATAGACACAATCAGCGTTACCTTCCTGAGAGATACTGAGGCTAAACAAACATGTCTTGTATATGCATATGCATCTTTTTGTTGTTTTAACACAGTGGCAGCATACTATTTAGACATAGCCTTCTGTACCTGCTGGACCTGGCTCTTCTCACTTATCAGTATATCTTGGCTATTATCCCACTGTGTGGGCAGTTTGATTTGACTTCTGTTTATTTCCTTTATTTTTATGTATTTATTTATTTATTTATTGCAATTGTTGACTAAAAAGTTACTGCATGCTAGTGTCTGGAGATATGTTGTTGAAAAATATAAATTGAATCTCTGCTCTTGTGGAGACAATACTAATCTATAATCACAGAAATAATAATTTCGTTAAGGTGGTAGTAGAGCTCCAAAGGACAAACCCAGGGTGCCGTGTGGAGGGGTGATGGTGACACTTATTCTGGTTGTCAGGAACAGGGTGGGGGTGCTGGTTGACACCCTGAACCAATGCAGGCTCTTGCTCAGAAACAACGGTCAGCCCTGAGATTTTGCAGATACTTTACAAAGCACATTCTGACCTGGTTCTCTGAATAACCTTGTCAGAGGCAAATTTTGCTATTCCCGTTAAATTAGTTAATACAAGTAAAGTGCTAACAGCAGTGGCTTGTAGACAGAAACTAGTCCATAAATATTGTATTATTTTACAGATGGGGAGACAGAGCCAGGAGAAGTCAAACATTAAGAGACAAATAGTTTAGGGCCGGGCGCAGTGGCTCATGTCTGTAATCCCAGCACTTTGGGAGGCCAGGGTGGACAGATCACTGGAGGTCAGGAGTTCGAGACCAGCCAGGCCAACATGCTGAAACCCTGTCTCTACTAAAAATAAAAAAATTAGCCAGGCGTGGTGGTGCGCATCTGTAATCCCAGCTACTCAGGAGGCTGAGGCAGGAGAATCGCTTTAACCCAGGAAGAGGAGGCTTAAGTGAGCTGAAATGGCACCACTGCACTCCAGCCTGAGCAGCAGAGCGAGACTGTCTCAAAACAATAACAAAAAGAAATGAAGATTAGACCCAGCCTATCTACTGACAGAGCTCTTCATTGTTGTACTTAGCCACTGGGCTCTAATAGTTTTCTAATGTCACTTGTCCGTTTTTCCCTCAACAAACTTGTAGTAAGAGGCTACATGTTTACCATGGGCCAGGAGTACAAAGATGAGCTACAGTACAAAGATGGGTAAATTGTTGGCTCCACCCCTGAGGACAGTAGTGGACTGAGATAGCTTAGGAGGCAGTGAATTCATGAGCAGCACAGGTCTTTCGCAGAAACAAGTTGACTGCTAGTTGTGATGTTATAAAGGACATTCTTGGATCATTTATTGCACACTGGCTCTGTGCAGAGCTCACTGTCTTGGGCTTTTTGAGTAATACATGGATGTCTTGGAGGACTGGAGGGTTGGTGGGGAAAATGTTTTTAGGAGGTAATTTAGTACATGTTTCTGCAGTCAAATACACATATTACTGGGTGGTCAGGTGAGATGATATTAATACTTACGTGAATATGTAGACATAAAGTTCCCTGACAAGCGAAGTAAAGCAAGTGAACTAATTTAAAGAAAACCATTTACAGCTGGATGTGGTGGCGCACACCTGTAATCCCAGCACTTTGGGAGGCTGAGGCAGGTGAATCACTTGAAGTCGGGAGTTCAAGACCAGCCTGCCCAACATGGTGAAACCATCTCTACTAAAAATACATAAATTAGCCAGGTGCCGTGGTGGGCATCTATAATCCCAGCTACTCAGGGGGCTAAGACAGGAGGATCCCTTGAACCTGAGAGGCGGAGGTTGCAGTGAGCTGAGATCACACCACTGCACTCCAGCCCGGGTGACAGAGTGAGACTCCATCTCAAAAAACTTTTTGAAAATAGGGCAGGACCGGGTGCGGTGGCTCATGCCTGTAATACCAGCACTTTGGGAGGCTGAGGCAGGCGGATCACGAGGTCAGGAGATCGAGACCATCCTGGCTAACACAGAGAAACCCCATCTCTACTAAAAATACAAAATAATTAGCCGGGCATGTAGCCGGGCGCAGTGGCTCACACCTATAATCCCAGCACTTTGGGAGGCCAAGGTGGGTAGACACCTGAGGTCAGGAGTTCAAGACCAGCCTGGCCAATATGGCAAAACCCCATCTCTACTAAAAATACAAACAATAGCCGGGCATGGTGGCGTACACCTGCAATCCCAGCTACTTGGGAGGCTGAGGCAGGAGAATCACTTGAACCCGGGAGGCAGAGGTTGCAGTGAACTGAGATCACACCATTGCACTCCAGCCTAGGCAACAAGAGCAAAACTCTATCTCAAAAAAAAAATTATCCAGGCTTGGTGGCGGGCGCCTATATTCCCAGCTACTCGGGAGGCTGAGGCAGGAGAATGGCATGAACCCGGGAGGCAGAGCTTGCAGTGAGCCAAGATCACACCACTACACTCCAGCCTGGGTGACAGAGTGAGAGTTCATTTCAAAAGAAAAAAAGAAAAGAAAAGAATAGTGCAAATATTATATGAGTGGCTATGGCAGATGTAAAGGTGATTGGCAATTCTTTATCTGGGAAAGCTGGCCTAATGGTTACAAGGAAGAGTGCTGGAGTAAAAGAGACTGCCTTTGCCCTTGACCTTGGGCAAAACTTAACCTCTTGATATAGTTTTATCCTTTACGAAATGAGAAGGGTGTGGCGATGATTAGGAAAATTCAGAGCGGGCATGGTGGCTCACGCTTGTAATCCCAGCACTTTGGGAGGCCAAGGCAGGCGGATCACCTGAGGTCAGGAGTTTGAGACCAGCCATGGTCAATATGGTGAAACCCCGTCTCTACTAAAAAGACAAAAATTAGCCGGGCGTGGTGGCCGGCGCATGTAATCCCAGCTACTCAGGAGGCTGAGGCAGGAGAATCGCTGGAACCTGGGAGGCAGAGGTTGCAGTGAGCCAAGATCACACCATTGCACTTCAGCCTGGGCAACAGAGTGAGACTTTGTCTCAAAAAAAAAAAAAAAAAAAAAAAATTCAGGCTAGGGGGCAGTGGCTCATGCCTGTAATCTCAGCACTTGGGAGGCCAAAGTGAGAGGATTGCTTGAGCCCAGGAGTTCAAGACCAGCCTGGCCAACATGGTGAAACCATCTCTACTAAAAATACACAGATTAGCCGGGTGTGGTGATTGGCACCTGTAATCCCAGCTACTCGGGGCTGAGGCAGGAGGATCACTTGAACCCGGCAGAGGTTGCAGTGAGCTGAGATCACACCACAGCACTCCAGTCTGGGTGACAGAGCAAGACTCCTATCTCAAAAAAAAAAAAAAAAAAAAATTGAAAATAATAGTGCAAATATTATATGGGTGGCTATGGCAGATGTAAAGGTCATTGGGAATTCTTTTTCTAGAAAAGCTGGCCTAACGGTTGGAGCTCTGGAGTAAAAGAGACCCCCTTTGCCCTTGACCTTGGGCAAAACTTACACAGTTTTGCCCTTTACAAAATGAGAAGGGTGTGGCGATGATTAAGAAAATTCAAGCTAGGGGCAGTGGCTCATGCCTGTAATCCCAGCACTTGGGAGACCAAGGTGGGAGGATTGCTTGAG